TGAGATCTCGTCGAACTATTTTCTACCTGAGTCATGTCGATATGTCAAAATATTGTACATCATAGCAAATATGCATTTTAGTTGTCGTTCGCCTGGTGAAATTGACAGCGTAGTCATGGAAACGTCAAACAAGTGTTTCTTACCGGCAAGGGTCGACATTTAAATAACATGTCACATACATCCTTTGAGTTTCATCTGAATCTGTTCTATTTGTTTAAACTTCATTCCTTGTTGTCTGAATATATATATAGTATATATATAGCTTTTCGTGTGGTTTAAATGCTGCCGTTTGACATACGTGTTAAATTTCTGTGTTGAATGTACTTGAATGGATTACAACAGTATTTAGCGTCTGTCAGTTTTGTCCTCTCTGGAATTTTGTACTTATAACTAACTTATTACCGTAACGTACATCTAAAAACCCAGAGATCTAAAAATAGACACAGTTTATATGTTCAATTACAAAACACCTTTCGTTGTTTGATGTACCGAAAAATATAAAGTGATACTTCCTAGTAGGAACATAAGAATAATATTTAAAGGAACGTTTCTAGTAATAGACCGTACAAACTTTGTACATCACGTATAATTATGTAAACTTAGTTAGGGTATCAACGGATTGTTCCGCCCCCTCACTGTAAGCAGAGTGAAGAGGCGTTACCTGGGACAGAACCCGGGTATTCTTACCGCCAACTGAGTCCGTTAGGAATACCAGTTGAACTGAATGTCCAAACTACAGGTTGTAGATGTATTTGTATACTCTAAAGAGGAGGTTAAATGGGCTATATCCCTAATACACGGCGCCCACTTCTTTTCTAGGGAGACAGAAATTTTCACATCAAAAATTAAAGATATTAAGAATAGCAAAGTGAAAGATATATTTACATCTTTCAATGCTGGTCAGTTTTAAGTTAAAAACCAAAGTGGGATGAAAATTTCCTACCGAAGATTGAGGAAGGCTTTGCTGACAATGAGGTATTTAAGCAATGCTGATTCAGTTGTAAAATTCATTTTTAAAATTTAGGCACATCTTGGAAACAAGCATAACTTTGTAGGATAATGGTAAAGTATTTAAAATTTTCTTTATTACAGATATTAGTTTTCATAGCGATTCCTGGCGAAGTATAATGACTTTGGAACATTCCTTGTTTGAAGTGCAGATTCATATCAACACATTCTTTGTGTTAAGAATTCAAGTTTTAAATCTCAAACGAATGACAACATGATATTTCGGTATTGCATGTTAAACGTTTTTGTGAGTACTCTGTAGAAACTCTGGTTTACTGACATCTGTATATATAAAACGCTATGTCGATTAGAAATTAGAGGTATAAACACACCAATGTCATTTTTTTTTATGAAATCACAAACCCTATAGGATACTATCTTAGTTAATTCGTAATTTCAAAAGACAGTCTTTGACATTAAGAGCACTGTACAATTGTTTAATTAAAAACGCTCTGTGATAATAGGGTCATCATATAAAATCACCAGGAAATCCATACTCTAACACAATAAACGTTATTACGTCAGTTTTACTTTGAAATATAAAATCCTGTCTTTTATGGAATAATAAATGTTGTATATGTGTTTGATTTGTAATTGGAAATGCCAATTTAATTTAGATTATAAGCGTTGTAGTATAATTCTTTGTAATTTCATCCTTGATACTCCAGGGTTACGATCATTTTCGTTCTCTGACTCCTAGGAAATGCCATGTGCTTTCGATTTTGTCAAGACATGAGAGCGAGAGTATCGAGGATGTTGTAACTTATAAACTATAGTAACTTGAAACCTGCCAACCGTTCAATTGTGGCGTTACACGTGCGTTGCGTCATAAACATGGTGATGCAAAATAAATTAATAGTCACGGAGTTAATATCATTGTTATATACTCAATTCCTTATGAGATCGAGGAATCGCTGTTTTCACATTTGAAAACAGTCTCTTCAACAGGTGTTTAACTAACTTACCAATGACACGTAAATATGGTTTAATACTCAAGATAATTTACAAACGTTAGTAAAGCAATTACCACGTGACAATCACGTGTTGAATGACTATCTCACAGTGTCCTATGATTGTGGCTGCACTTTTGATCTGACGAGATCGTGAATGGTCAGTGACTACTACATGCTATTAGGGCCACTTAAGCCTGTTGCTGTGATCCTTTGTCAAGGCCTGGCCCTTTTAGGGCGTTTTCAGCTCCCACGCGGACGGACTGTGATTACGGATTTGACAGGTTTCCTTTGGACAGCCATTAAATGTCTCGTTCCCGTACCCTACAAGTCCATATCGTGGTACTTACACCAGCCACGGGTTTGAAGCCTGGTGAATAAAACGCTGTATCAACCCACACATAAGCACATGTAGACAATAATCATCAACTGCAAAGTGTTACCTGAGTAGGCTTCAAATAAAAAAAAAACAACATAGGTAGGGTTTTCCACTTTTACTTCGAAAAATATTCTTATTTTTGTTATTGTCTTTCTGAATAAGTTCATGTGCACAACTACACAATTAATCCAGGAATATTCTCACTATATAGCATATAGGAGCTCCTTACAAGGTAAGTGATGAAGTTCAAAGTGAGAGTGAAAATATCAATGATTTGTAGTCCGTGTAAACATCTATATTTATATTAAAATCGCAAGTGTACCGAATCGTGCTTATTACACGCACTCGTTTACATACGCGTTCTTTTCATGCATTTTAATAAGATTTTACTTATCGTTCAAGTCACTAATGGAATACTTGTACAAACTTATTTGACTTAAAACATTTTTGAAGAAAACGACTTGATCAACTAACTCATATCATTGGTTACTGATCGCACGTGTTTAACGATAACATCATTCTGATTTGTTTTTGATCATTTTTGACAGATATTTCCCGATCGCAGTAGGGACATAATGAGATATATCGAGTTTGTATCCATGGATAAAAATGTTACATATAATTTTATACGGAAAGATTAAAAAACATGTTCATCCTGCCGACACAACACTTTACACATATCCGGAAATCTCCTGGCATCCGTTACTAAGTATTATAATCTGCCTGTATTTTAATGAAGCATTTGTACAAAAAAAATTGACGTATAACACTAGTGTTACCAGCTGTAACACTGGTATCTTATCCCACTGTTGTAACACTGGTGTCTTATCCCACTGTTGTAACACTGGTGTCTTATCCCACTGTTGTATCACTGATGTCTTATCCCACTGTTGTAACACTGATGTCTTATCCCACTGTAGTAATACTGGTGTCTTATGTCACTGTTGTAACACTGGTGTCTTATCCCACTGTTGTAACACTGGTGTCTTATCCCACTGTAGTAATACTGGTGCCTTATGTCACTGTTGTAACACTGGTGTCTTATCCCACTGTTGTAACACTGATGTCTTATCCCACTGTAGTAACACTGGTGTCTTATCCCACTGTGGTAACACTGGTGTCTTATCCCACTGTTGTAACACTGGTGTCTTATCCCGCTGTTGTAACACTGGTGTCTTATGTCACTGTTGTAACACTGGTGTCTTATCCCGCTGTTGTAACACTGGTGTCTTATCCCACTGTTGTATCACTGGTGTCTTATCCCACTGTAGTAATACTGGTGTCTTATCCCACTGTTGTATCACTGGTGTCTTATCCCACTGTAGTAATACTGGTGTCTTATGTCACTGTTGTAACACTGGTGTCTTATCCCACTGTTGTATCACTGATGTCTTATCCCACTGTTGTAACACTGGTGTCTTATCCCACTGTTGTAACACTGATATCTTATCCCACTGTAGTAATACTGGTGTCTTATGTCACTGTTGTAACACTGGTGTCTTATCCCACTGTTGTAACACTGATGTCTTATCCCACTGTAGTAATACTGGTGTCTTATGTCACTGTTGTAACACTGGTGTCTTATCCCACTGTTGTATCACTGATGTCTTATCCCACTGTTGTAACACTGGTGTCTTATCCCACTGTTGTAACACTGATGTCTTATCCCACTGTAGTAACACTGGTGTCTTATCCCACTGTAGTAATACTGGTGTCTTATGTCACTGTTGTAACACTGATGTCTTATCCCGCTGTTGTAACACTGATGTCTTATCCCACTGTAGTAACACTGGTGTCTTATCCCACTGTAGTAATACTGGTGTCTTATGTCACTGTTGTAACACTGATGTCTTATCCCGCTGTTGTAACACTGGTGTCTTATCCCGCTGTTGTAACACTGGTGTCTTATGTCACTGTTGTAACACTGGTGTCTTATCTCGCTGTTGTAACACTGGTGACTTATCCCGCTGTTGTAACACTGGTGTCTTATCCCGCTGTTGTAACACTGGTGTCTTATGTCACTGTTGTATCACTGGTGTCTTATCCCGCTGTTGTAACACTGGTGTCTTATGTCACTGTTGTAACACTGGTGTCTTATCCCACTGTAGTAATACTGGTGTCTTATGTCACTGTTGTAACCCTGGTGTCTTATCCCGCTGTTGTAACACTGGTGTCTTATCCCGCTGTTGTAACACTGGTGTCTTATCCCGCTGTTGTAACCCTGGTGTCTTATTCCGCTGTTGTAACACTGGTGTCTTATCCCGCTGTTGTAACCCTGGTGTCTTATCCCGCTGTTTAGCAAATGTCATATAACGTTTTATGTTTTCACAGTGTTAAGCTAATTTCGTATATCAAAAACATATTGTGATTAAGACATGTTTTGTAAGGAATTAAGACACATTTTGTGAGGAATTAAAACAGGTTTTAGTGTCTTTTTCATTTATCATGTCTTTCTTATACACTACATGTATCTGATACTATGGTGTACAATTTACTTATAAAACAATATCCCTTCCCGAAAAGATTATATAAAACGGAAACAAATTAACTTGACAATCCATGTTCTTTACGAACATTATGTAAGCAACTTAATCCACGGATATGTTTTTTACAAGCCTTGGTGTTTGTCATTGCAGTTCGACAAAGATATCTTTGCTGACATAATGGGCGATCGCATCAGGACAAGCCCCGACCAGAAGCACTCATATGTGGAACTGAAACAGGTTCCGTTAGATGTTTACGGAGAAAGATTGAGTGGAATTTCATCGGCTTCTGCATGTCACCGGAAGCAATGGAGGAAAATACAGCCAGCCCAACAGGAATGTTTTGTGCAAGCATCGGACATTTGTTTTGGTATCAAAGAAGAGCCCGGTATCGAGCAGCAGGTTAAGGGTCGATTTCAGAGCCTCTCTGGCCAAGGTTAGTTCCTCATCCTATACAGGGCTCCAACTATTTATCTTAAAAAATCTAACCTCCTGTCGATCATAGTATATCTGGTTATTACCTCCGAGCAGTATTGGTATAAAACATTCTCCGAAGTAAGAGTCACACAATTTCTATAAAAAATGTCGAACAGGTTCGAAACAAACTGTTCACCATATATTACGAACATTATGTAAGCAACTTAATCCACGGATATGTTTTTTACAAGCCTTTTTGTTTCGTGTCATTTTTTTCTTTGTCTTTTTATTATACAGAATTATCGCTCCAGGACAACAGATATTGATTATTACGAAACAGGTTAGATGTTCAAGAAAATGGTATCGAATTTTCGGCTTCTGCATGTCACCATGAACAATGACGTGACAATCAAATACCTGCTAACAAAGGTAATGTTTTGTGCAAGTCGGACATTTGTTTTGGTATCGAACCGTAATCGAATGCAGGTTAAGGGTTATTTCAGAGCCTCTCTGGCCAAGGTTAGTTCCAATCCTATACAGGGCTCCAACTATTTATCTTAAAAAATCTAACCTCCTGTCGATCATAGTATATCTGGTTATTACCTCCGAGCAGTATTGGTATAAAACATTCTCCGAAGTAAGAGTCACACAATTTCTATAAAAAAGTGTCGAACAGGTTCGAACTGTTCACCATATATTCCCAGGCGTCGATTCCCCTGTTTTCAGTCCCTTTTTCTTTCGTGTCATTTTTTTCTTTGTCTTTTTATTATACAGAGTTATCTGCTCCTGTTAACAGATATTGATTATTACGTCACAGGTTTATGTAAGAAAATGGTATCGTTTTCTTATGACGCTACACTCATGAACAAATGACGTGACAATCAAATACCTGCTAACAAAGACGTATTTGTTCTGTGTCGGTTGTTCCAATCGCGTCTATCGAACCGTAATCGAATGTGTCGAACCGTGTTATTTGTGCCGTGTCGGTTGTTCCAATCGCGTCTGTCGAACCGTAATCGAATGTGTCGAACCGTGTTATTTGTGCCGTGTCGGTTGTTTCAATCGCGTCTGTCGAACCGTGTTATTTGTGCCGTGTCGGTTGTTCCAATCGCGTCTGTCGAACCGTGTTATTTGTGCCGTGTCGGTTGTTTCAATCGCGTCTGTCGAACCGTGTTATTTGTGCCGTGTCGGTTGTTTCAATCGCGTCTGTCGAACCGTGTTATTTGTGCCGTGTCGGTTGTTTCAATCGCGTCTGTCGAACCGCGTTATTTGTGCCGTGTCGGTTGTTTCAATCGCGTCTGTCGAACCGTGTTATTTGTGCCGTGTCGGTTGTTTCAATCGCGTCTGTCGAACCGTGTTATTTGTGCCGTGTCGGTTGTTTCAATCGCGTCTGTCGAACCGTGTTATTTGTGCCGTGCCGGTTGTTTCAATCGCGTCTGTCGAACCGTGTTATTTGTGCCGTGCCGGTTGTTTCAATCGCGTCTGTCGAACCGTGTTATTTGTGCCGTGTCGGTTGTTTCAATCGCGTCTGTCGAACCGTGTTATTTGTGCCGTGCCGGTTGTTTCAATCGCGTCTGTCGAACCGTAATCGAATGTGTCGAACCGTGTTATTTGTGCCGTGTCGGTTGTTTCAATCGCGTCTGTCGAACCGTGTTATTTGTGCCGTGTCGGTTGTTTCAATCGCGTCTGTCGAACCGTGTTATTTGTGCCGTGTCGGTTGTTTCAATCGCGTCTGTCGAACCGTGTTATTTGTGCCGTGCCGGTTGTTTCAATCGCGTCTGTCGAACCGTGTTATTTGTGCCGTGTCGGTTGTTTCAATCGCGTCTGTCGAACCGTGTTATTTGTGCCGTGTCGGTTGTTTCAATCGCGTCTGTCGAACCGTGTTATTTGTGCCGTGTCGGTTGTTTCAATCGCGTCTGTCGAACCGTGTTATTTGTGCCGTGTCGGTTGTTTCAATCGCGTCTGTCGAACCGTGTTATTTGTGCCGTGTCGGTTGTTTCAATCGCGTCTGTCGAACCGTGTTATTTGTGCCGTGTCGGTTGTTTCAATCGCGTCTGTCGAACCGTGTTATTTGTGCCGTGTCGGTTGTTTCAATCGCGTCTGTCGAACCGTGTTATTTGTTTCCTGCTCGTTTGTCTGAGGTTTTGGTGACATGTGTGACGTAATAACGGCAATTGTTTATTAGGTCATTGTATATTATGGCAGAATTCTGGTCTCCGTTGCCAAAAAATGATTACATTTCAACTGTTTAGAACTAACTATGGAGAACATGCAAGTTTAAGACGGGAAAACAACAAAATATTACCGTTAGACAACAAATCATTATCGTGAAACGACAACAAAATATTACCGTAAGACAACAAAATATTACCGTTAGACAACAAATCATTACCGTCAGACAACAAATCATTATCGTAAAACGACAACAAAATATTACCGTTAGACAACAAATAATTATCGTGAAACGAAAAGAAAACATTACCGTGAAACAACAAATAATTGTCGTAAAACGACAACAAAATATTACCGTTAGACAACAAATCATTATCGTGAAACGACAAATAATTGTCGTAAAACGACAACAAAATTTTACCGTTAGACAACAAATCATTATCGTGAAACGACAAATAATTGTCGTAAAACGACAACAAAATATTACCGTTAGACAACAAATCATTATCGTGAAACGACAAATAATTGTCGTAAAACGACAACAAAATATTACCGTTAGACAACAAATCATTATCGTGAAACGACAAAAAGTTATTACTTTGAATCGACAAAAAATCATTTCCGTAAAACGACAACAAATTATGACCGACGACATATGCTGTTTTATAGATATCGGATCCCAAACCACTTGTTTACTATATCCGCCGTGAGAGGGGATGTACAATATGTAACACCGAACATCTTTATGCAGCAATCACATCGATCTAAATTTGCATACATACTTTTTCCTGCCAGAGATTTGAACAGATAAATATAAACACGAAGGAAAAAACAATTTATTGTCTGACGTTAAGTGTACATTACGTATAGAAGTTGAGAAAGTGGAAGGGCTTATTTCCTATGTGATGAGTACCGATGTCTGACCACTTGTGAAGATCAGTACAATACTACCTTGCCTTTAGTTAGTGTTAGGTTAGACATGGAGGCGTGCCGCTGGATCAGTGACGGTAAGCTGTATAAAGATGTCACAATTTACCTTAGAACAAAAATGAAAGTAAATTTCCGCTTATATTTTTGACTTTATTAATTCTACACACACAAATTTACAGTACATACGTTTCTTTTATATCTGTCCTTTTCGCGATTGCGTGACTAATATTGTATCGGCGTCGTCAACGAAATCCAAACATCTGACGAACTATTTCTCTACACGGAACATTTCTAAGAGTTTTCGTCCACACTGAAATCCCATGGAGATCATGTTGCCCTTTCGTTGGCGCGGTCGTCTTTATACCATCATTCGTAAACTCTGGAATGCTAACATGGTTCCTATACTCCACAGATGCAGGCTACCTATATCCAGTGGAAGACTCCAGATCAAGCTTCCAAAGTCAAAATAGCCCGGATATACCTATGGATCATTGTCACCTTGAACGTTCGCCAGTCTACACGGACACAACAAATGGTATGTTCAATGCTTTGCTTGTCTCCCTTTTATAAGCCTATTTTTGTTCGTAACAATTCGGGTGTTTTATATATGAAATTTTCGAATGATCTTTATTCAATGTTTTAAATGTGTAGCCAGTTTTCTAGAGGAAAATTTTATCCGTGGTTTGTTCCAAGTCGGCCACGACATCTTTTCCTCGTGGATAAGAGGGAAGTATTTAAATATTTGAAAAGAGCTGTTGAAACAGTTTGGTAATAACCATTATTTTAAAACGCACTCTGTTTTGTCAATAATGCACAATTTTGTAGTGAAAGCATATTTAGAATGTTTTTAAACTATTGACAAAATAGTATTTTAAAGTCTCGCATCAGTAAGAAAAGACATTCAAAAAGACTTCGTGTAAATCATCATCATCAAATGCTTACACATGTAGCTGATTACAAACCAATTTATTCATGACATTTTAATGTAGTGACAGAAAGCCAGCCATTAAGGTTTGGTATCAGGTACAGAAGGTTTGGTACCTGGTACAGAAGGTTTGGTATCAGGTACAGAAGGTTTGGTACCTGGTATAGAAGGCTTGGTACCTGGTACAGAAGGTTTGGTACCAGGTACAGAAGGTTTGGTACCTAGTATAGAAGGCTTGGTACCTGGTACAGAAGGTTTGGTATCAGGTACAGAAGGTTTAGTACCCGGTACAGAAGGTTTGGTACCTGGTACAGAAGGTTTGGTACCCGGTACAGAAGGTTTGGTACCCGGTACAGAAGGTTTGATACCCGGTACAGAAGGTTTGGTACCCGGTATAGAAGGTTTGGTACCTGGTACAGAAGGTTTGGTATCAGGTACAGAAGGTTTAGTACCCGGTACAGAAGGTTTGGTACCTGGTACAGAAGGTTTGGTACCTGATACAGAAGGTTTGGTATCAGGTACAGAAGGTTTGACAAGACCGCTCTAACGCTAATCGTCTTGTGTAATATCGATAAATTACAACAATCGGGTTTGGTCAGCTCCGTCTACATACTATGCAGGGTAAGTGTTTGGTAACTTAAGAGTCGTGTTCCGAGAGCTAATATCCTCCACCTTCTGTGTCGTAAGTGTATGTTTTGTGCGACCGTTTCTAAGAAAGAGTCCCGGAAATGACCTGTTACCGATAAACCAGGGACTCCCTAACGTGCTGATCCCAACCAGTCAAGTTAAACCTGGGACATACCTGATACAGAAGGTTTGGTACGTACCCTGGTACCCTGGCCTATTACAGATAAACACCTGTTGGGACATTACAGGGACCAACATCCCTGTTACAGTGGCCAGGGATTTTGAATTTTAGAAAACTTCATTACTTGATTTCTAAACATTCTGAATAATTTTAACCATTTTTTTTGATAATTTCACTGGAGTTGAGTGTCGTGGTGTTTTGTTATTACCTAAAAGTAGTGACAAGACCGCTGTTCTCTAACGCTAATCGTCTTGTGTAATATCGATAAATTACAACAATTGGGTTTGGTCTACATACTATTACATATAAACATGGGACCTCCACTTTCTGTGTCGTAAGTGTATGTTTTGGGCGACAGTCCCGGAAATGACCTGTTACCGATAAACCAGGGACTCCCTAACGTGCTGATCCCAACCAGTCAAGTTAAACCTGGGACATCCCAACGTCCCGACCCTGGCCTATTACAGATAAACATGGGACATCCGAACGTCCCGACGCTGGCCTATTACAGATGAACATGGGACATCCCAACGTCCCGACCCTGGCCTATTACAGATAAACATTGGACATCCCAACATCCCGACCCTGGCCTATTACAGATAAACATGGGACATCCCAACATCCCGACCCTGGCCTATTACAGATAAACATGGGACATCCCAACATCCCGACCCTGGCCTATTACAGATAAACATGGGACATCCCAACATCCCGACCCTGGCCTATTACAGATAAACATGGGACATCCCAACATCCCGACCCTGGCCTATTACAGATAAACATGGGACATCCCAACATCCTGACCCTGACCTATTACAGATAAACATTGGACATCCCATCGTCCCGACCCTGGCCTATTACAGATAAACATGGGACATCCCAACGTCCCGATCCTGACCTGTTACAGATAAACATGGGACATCCCATCGTCCCGACTCTGACCTGGTACAGATAAACATGAGACATGCCTTGATCCTGGCTTGTTACAGATAAACATAGGACATGTCTTGATCGTGGCCTGTTACAGATAAACATGTTACAGCCCAGCCTCCCCTCTCCGTGTCAGTGGTACACGTTACCATATGACTAAAAAGAAGAATTTGAAGGAATGTGATTTTTGGATGACTTTTACATTAGAGAGATTTACACCTGTGATAATAGTGTTATAACACCCGTGTGCCGTTTTCGTACAACACCAGCCACACTAAATACACGGACATTGATACTGTTAAAACGATTTCTATTTTTAAAAATACGTATCCGGGAATAACGTATAAAAACATACATGTTTACATATTTGTCAGAAAATCTACATTCCATTTTCACACCTGTATAGACTACTGAATATTAAACAAAAAGAATATTCGTAAAAGGAAAAAAATGATATAAAATGGATGATTAAACTTTTGGTTATTGGTGTAGATACAGATGTAGTAAGTGTTGGTAACTCCCTGGCCCGGACCAGACTACACGTTACATCTTAGGAATCGAGCTTCTTGTAACAAAGTGATTTTTTTACTGGGCACACTCTTACTTATCTGTGTTAGTAACACCTGATAAAATATACGATTTACCTAGATGAGGTTTGGTTTTATAAATTACATCATATACATAGAACATAAAACAAATACATATAAATATATATAAATCTAAATCGCCTTTTATATGGGAGAGAAACAAAAATCAAATTTGTGTTTTGACTGTGTTTTGATGTTACTATATAAATATGTACGGGTATGTGTCTTTACTGTGGTATGTTATATAAATATGTACGGGTATGTGTCTTTACTGTGGTATGTTATATAAATATGTACGGGTATGTGTTTTTACTGTGGTATGTTATATAAATATGTACGGATATGTGTCTTTACTGTGGTATGTTATATAAATATGTACGGGTATGTGTCTACTGAGGTATGTTATATAAATAGGTACGGGTATGTGTCTTTACTGTGGTATGTTATATAAATATGTACGGATATGTGTCTTTACTGTGTAATGTTATATAAATATGTACGGATGTGTGTCTTTACTGTGGTATGTTATATAAATATGTACGGATATGTGTCTTTACTGTGGTAGGGTATATAAATATATATGGATATGTGTCTTGCATTATTTTACGATAACGTTCCTATTTGTGTTACAGATCTTTTCCACAATTTAGAGAGTATGAAAGTGATCAGTGAGAACGGAGAGGTTTCTGTTGAACTATATGGATACCAGTATCCGATAGACATATCTGACACCATGGACATCAATGGCGGACATAAAGCAGGTACTTGATTTTAATCATTGGTGTTTTATTTTCATATCTTACCTGACAGAATGTTAGTGACCAATGACGTCAGCCGATAACAGGGAACACGCTGACCAGTCTGTATCATAGGAATACCTTATCATGTTTTCCGAAAGTTTGGGTACGCATCGCGTTTAAAGTAAGAATCTGCATCAGTTATGTTACAGAACCTTATGTCTTCTTGTATAACAGTTTGGGTGTAATGAAGTAATGTTTTGTTAACATAATTTTTAAATTATGATGTCACAACGAGAAATCGTTTTAACATGGCACCACTTTACACGTGACATGCGCAGAGCATGATTGTTATTGACTTCGAATCAAGTCGTGAAACTAGTTATTTTTTGTGATGAACGAAGTTATATCTTATTTTGTAAGCGTCTTTATCGAATGCAAAAAAAAACTTAAGTAATTAAAATAGTTTCTTTGTTTTGTTTCCAGAATACAATAAGGTGGATTACCCTATACAACAATCTCCATCCAAATCGGAGCCCCACCTGTTTAGCATTAACGATACACAGTATTCAGATCCTTACACTAACAAAAGGACTAAGACAAAGGATGCTGTTAAAGCAAGATACAGACAAAAACGTAGTAAGTTTTAAACAGAGAAATTTAAGTTATACTCGTATGATAATGAATTACTTCCCACAGCAACAGAGTATCTTATTATGTTTGGACGTCCATGGTTTTAGTGGCATTTATAGCGATTTGGAGAAGTTACCTAACCTGTCTTTCAGAGTCTTTTATTATATAGACTGAAATCTCGTCAATATACCGCGAGATTTCAGGAGCAAATTCCAAGTGTCTGAATGAAAACCTGTTTGACAGAGGAAAATAAATGCCAATTTTTACAATTGTTCTAATAATGGAAATGTAACTCAATGAACCTGTAACTCAATGGAACTGTAACTCCATGGACCTGTAACTCAATGGAATTGTAACTCAATGGACCTGTAACTCAATGGAACTGTAACTCAATGAAACTCAATGGACCTGTAACTCAATGGAACTGTAACTCAATGGACCTTTAACTCAATGCAGCCAGACGATGAAATTTAAACTTCATGTTCCAAACTAAATTAGACAAACAAACTAGAATATTTGTCACTTGTTTGTTTTCCTTCATTAGGGAAGGTTCATCTACAATTGAAGTAAATTTTCCACAATGTTACAATTCAGCTATAACATTACGACATCATTTTGTTGTTTCAGTGCAGCGAGGATGTCGGTTATGGGAATTCATCCGGGACCTGCTACAGAACCCTCTCTATAACCCTTCACACATCAAATGGATTGATAGATCGGTAGGCGAGTTCCGATTGGTCAAATCTAACCAGATAGCCCGGATGTGGGGAGCTAAGAAAAACAATGAATGTATGACATATGAAAAGCTGAGTAGAGCCATGAGGTGATTACATCAATGTGGTGAAGTTGTCTGTACAATCTAGATATTGAATTATGTTAACGAGGCTGATCGGGTCGACATTTGTCAAGGTCAACAAAAACATTCTCGTAATGTGAAGGTCATTGTATTTATGTGACACTGTTGACTGTATTTCATATCGGGGGGAGGAGTCGGATCAGTTCAGTCTGATGACGCTACTTGGAAGCCCCAAATTTAGGTGTCCTTTTGATCAGTAACAAGTAAATTAAACGTATTAAAGGCATTATTCAAATTGTTAAAAAGGGTCGTTTTGATAATTGCATGTAAATCGATCTAACATCTGAACTCATTCGGTAATATCTCCTTTCCATTTTCAGGTATTATTACAAAAGAGAAATCTTATCTCCTGTTTTGGGAAAGCGTCTAGTGTACAGATTCGGGGCCAAGTCGTACGGGTGGTGATCTAACAATTCAGAGTCTACAACAGAAGGCAAACGACCGACTCCATGTCAAGGATCTACATCACAGATTACAGCCCAGTGAAACACAAAAATCAGTGACAGAGTAAATACATTAAAGCGATTGTAAGTAAAACTTTAAACACCCGTCGACAAGGCCGATGTTTATTGCTTCAAAACATCTTGGGGTGACTGTTCGCCCCGTACTGCTGCTGAAACGAAGAGAGGACCTACATTTAACACTTTATTGTAGACACTCTGTCCCTGAAGATTCACATTCAGTTGCAGATCCTATCATCAACAAAATGCTCTCTCCAATCTACGAATCAATTGCTGCTTCATCTAAATCGTTTTAAATTATATATGTGGCAGAACCTTTCTTTACCTATCATATGTATGTATGCTAGTCACTCTCTTATGAGAAAGTTTGAATTAATGACGCCTTTGAGATATTAAGCTAACCTCTATTTAACATAGAAATTAGTGCTAATCCTTTAATATCTCTTAACATACACATGTAGATGCTTGGTAAACTAAGTGAACATGCAATGATGTCGTATATCCAGAATGGTACTGCGGGATTTCGTTCACAAAGCCCACCGTTGATATTTTTATCTATTACATTGTGCAACCGACTTAACATGTAACACGTGATTATATCATTTCGCCTGATGACTGCCACAAGTTTCAAACAGAGTGACTTCCGGTTCCGGTACAAAAGTAATCTATATTTAGTGACTTGTCATAGAAAACAGACTGTGCCTTTTAGAAGACTATCTATGGCGGTTTTTACTTACGTATGCAACCGTATCATTGTAAAGTCAACCATCAGTGATATTTTAAACCTATTTTTATTGAAAGTCAACCAATCCTAGAACAGTTCGTTGTTAGAAGAGAATCATGCCGAATGATTCGTAAAAGGTAGTGACATTGGACTTCTGTACAGAAATCAGATGAATGTTGTTATGCTGTCAGAATTTATAGATAACAATTTGTAACAACGCCTCGGTTTATAAAAGTTGAAGACAGTCATATTATACTAAATATGCCTGTTTTAGAAGTAAATTCGACCTCTCAAACTTGACATCACAGAAATGGAGCAGGATTTTAATGTACACCTGTGTGGAATTGTCGCCAGTTTGTTTAATTTACTTGAAATGATACCAATGTCATGATGTGTTCAGCTGTTTTAGTCGGCTGATTTTCTAAGTCATCATTTGTTTATACAATAAACACTATACGAGGGTCATATTGATGCTCGTGTCCCCTAGATTTGATACGTCCCATTACTTATTTTCAAAACAATGAATTTTCTACCTATTTTTTATAAAAAAACATCGAAGCTTTTGTCGTAGGATATTTTGTAGCTTTATATTCTTAACTTATTGAAGTATATGTTTTACATGTAATGATCATATTGATATGTCTAAAGTCTATTTTTGAAATAAAGTATTACTTTACGATTATGTACGTGTTTTTTTTATCCGTTATATATTGCTTTATAACTGTGAAGGGTTTGATAGGCATTTCTTTGGCGCCAGGGTTATATGAAGAGGACTATCAAAAGAGATATCAAGAGTGGAAAATAAAACACGGAAACAAAAACAACATAAAATAGGAAAACATCAAGATCCCAAATGTTGACATTTCGTCGGCAGATCAATTTTGGTCACTTTAATGAAAATCTTCTGCAAGGAGAATTTTCCTAGTCGCATTCTACCAACATGAAGTGGAATGGAATGCAACAGAAATAAAAAGTCTGCAGCATTTCGATGTTAAATAAATAATTAGACTCGAATAAGCCATAGCTAGTTTTTATTTAGAGGATGAATTTCAATACATTTTACTATCGCCAGGAGCAGACATCTGTAAACGTTTAACCAAATTACAGTCAAACGTCGATGTCTCGACCTCGAAATTGGAAATCTCGTACTCGTATAACTAGACTTCGAACAAAAAGACATGTAAATGCCAGAAATTTACTTATTTATGGTTGTTGTCATGGTTACTAGCGTATACGTATACTTATTTTCAGATGTCAAGGTAGATAACTCCGCCTGAGAAAAAAAGTTTTGTTTACAGTAGGTTCTTCCAGTTTTTATATATTCCTCTTGTAATGATTATAGCCGTATTTTGTATGTTTAAAATTATGATATAGAGAGTGGGTATATTGTTCATCAGAACCACAACTAAGTGTAGTAGAAATATTAAATTGATTTTTCAACATTCTGTATGTGTTTTAGTTGTCATGATGAACTATAAATTCAAACTTTATTGGTCATTTAAATGTCTAAACATTTTCACTTGTGGGGTTCCACTTCCTGTGTAAATACAAACGTATATAGAATCATAACATACACTGGTAAGGTTTTTTTTTGTAACATGTTATAATTAAAATTAGACACAACATTACTCAGAATGTGCCTATTGTGTTCTATATCTTATCAAAATGGTAACATATCTATACATTTCTATAAAAACAGTTTGTCTTTTAGAGTTACAGAATTATTGCTAAAACCATTATGATGTTTCCAAAACTTGTTACATGCTGCAAAAACTTAGAAGTTACAAACAACAACATACACTTTAGATTAAACCATTATAATTTTGCATAATTCTCCACACAAAGAAATGGCGAGGAGAAAGATAGGTGAAGAACTGGCTGGCTCTGATGGCACAGTATGACTTGGATGTTCCAATATCATCACACCTTGTCCATGTTACAGCAGGCCTGTGTTGATACACAGAGTTAAAAAGCAACTTGAAAAAAAGTTAATATAAGTATCCTTTTGTTTACTTATGAACATTTCATTTAATACTTCATCATGAAATAGTGGAAGGTTTGAATAAAATAGAAATATTCATGTTATAAACTGTATCCCATCAGTAAAACAAACAAATCTACTGACAGAATTTATGTAAGAATCTTGATATAAAATTATATATTAACCTTCATGTACCTTATTCATGTAAAACTTAATGTACATGTAGACCTACACCATCATAAATTGCATAATATGAAAAAAAATTGTTTTCATATAATACGTATCTATGCTATGATTTGGTGACAAGACGAACGCATTGGTAACGGTTTACCTCATTATTCTATTACTTGCAAATACAGACGGGGTGCAGTTCTTACCTTTGGTTCTTGTTCAGACTCAACATAAGTGAATTCTGTTGCATTGATTGTGTCATGTCATCACATGTAAGAACTTGTGATATGCATACAATTTGCAGCATATTATACTGTAGTGACGAATTATCTCTGCAAATTAAGTCAGGTCCCGTAAAACATGAGCTGGCGCCTCGGAATCGAAATTGGAAATACCCACATACTATAAATAGCATTTGCCGTCAAAATATGTATCTCTGGTACACAGCGTAAACACGACAGAGTTGCATTATATGCAATCGTAATCACACAGGTGCTTGCTCCGATGTAAGACGTCACCTGGGTGTGGTGTTTGTTCACGTACTGAAAGCGAGTGTTTGTGAAAACTCACGAAGCCTTTGTTTTTTTACTGAATGGGAAAAGATAATTTTGACCAATTTTCAGTCTGTCTTCAAATGACAATAGAATTCAGTGAGTATATCTATGCAATATCATTCGATTAGACAGGCGGTGTGTAGTGTAGACTGACACGAGACTGTTTGATAATCATCAGAAGTATTTTATTTGCCAAATCTAAATATTTGCAGCAAATAATGTGAAATTGATGGAACGTGCACAAGATTTTGGATATTAGGTATCAATGTATTAAAATTCGAGTGAGTTATTTCGTTTTTTATGAACATATATGCGGAATACAAACCGGAGCCGCGAATAGACATTTACGTACACCGTGCACACGACGTCATCAATCCAAAATGTTAAGGGGAAAAATGCCTCGTATATTCAACTCGCAAAAAGCGTAAGAAATATTTGTCAAATCAAATTATACTAAAAAAATTGTTAAGCATTTTCTCCAAATTTATGAGATATAATTAGTAGATCAATACCTCCACAAACAAGGGAGATATGACGTTTTTTTAAACACCGACGTCACAATGCGTAAAAAAATCCGTAGTTTGGAGTTAAGGGGTTAGAAGGATCGCTACATCATCAGGAGTACTTCAGTAGCGATCTCTATCAGGTTAAACATGTGGTCTGTTCAAGCTGTTTAAGAGATTAAGCAAGGAGGGAAATCTTTATTCAACAACTGTCTATTGTGAAACACACTGCGGTCAATTGGCGCGAAGTGGGCCATTGACTCAGTAGAATTGATAGGGGATTCCCCTGTCTTTTCACAGGATGTCTCTTTCCAACTAGTACATGATCGCATTCTCTGCGCAAGGTACGACAGACAGAAGGGGGAACGCTGAAATATAACGTGATTAACCCATCTATATCTTTCTTAAATGTGTTTGCGATTTAATTCGGTATTGCGTTACTCTCCTTAACGTTGATAAGGGTGTGGGACAGAATATGATAAGTCTTGGTATCTGTTAACCGACAGACACAGTAAAACGTGTCAACTCAGCGTAATATTGTATTACTTAAATTTACGTAACATATCACTAGGTCAGTGAAATTTTACACGGTATATATAGAGTCTCGGTCAACAGAATTCCACTTATAATCAGTATTATTACACCAGTAGATTCCCAGTCTTCAGCAGGATCTGTTGTAGGTGTTTGTATACAATAATACATAGATTTGTCCTAAACTGTGATCACAGACATTTCTTTATGATGAAGATTTCCGTTTCAGAGAGGAAGCCTTCTAAAACTGATCTGATCGATTTGTTGCAAGTACATCCCTTCGAAATACAGAACTAGAAAACGTATTCTTTCAGGGAAATGATTCACAGCATCAAGAAGTAATGTTAAATGGTCTGAAAAATAGAAAATTGCTAGAGTCTCCAAGTGTAGAAAATTGACTAGGAGTGAGAGTGAGAAACACGGACTAAAGACATGTACAATGAAGGGATAATATATAAATCAGTTTAGTATACATGTATCTTAAATAAATAAAAATAAATCTAAAAAAAAAAAAAATTTTTTTCTGAAATTCTGTCACTTGTTAAGCAATTGTTCACGTGCTATACATTGTAACATTCCCTCATAACAATATACAATTACTGAGTATATCAAACACATACAAGCTTTATGTTATCAGTGGTCCATTCAGGTATTGTAACTCTGCTCTACCTGACCACTCAATACTGTATATAATAGGTGT